GTGTTCTGCTTTCTGCAGTTGTGAAGGAAGCTGCCTGAGATCATTTCATGCTACCAAAAAAGATGGTGAAGATTCACTTTGTGATTCTCTTGGCTTAAACAAGATGCAAGTGGAAGTATGTAAAATATATGATTTTCTCATTAGTTCTGAATATTTATGAGCGTCTTGATTTTCTTGAGTAGGCATGGAGTTAATGTTACTGCTGTTTATGGATTGTTTTCCAGGCAATTCAGAAATACTTTTGCCCAAACTGTGAGCATAAGATACATCAATGCTTCATTTGCAAGAACCTTGGCTCTTCTGATAACTCCACTGGGGCAGCAGAGGTATGCAATTATTGATCTCTAATGTTGAATGCTGTTCAGACGTGTTTTGTTGATAATGGTGACTGTCAAGTAATTGGATGAGTTTTGTGTTTTAAACATTTTCATAGGTTTTCCAATGCGTGTCAGCCACCTGCGGCTACTTTTACCATCCTCGTTGTGTCACAAGACGGCTACGTTTAGGAAATAAAGATGACTCTGAAGCACTAGAGAGACAAATCATTGCTGGAGAGTATACATGCCCATTGCACAAATGCAGTGTCTGTGAAAACGGAGAGGTTAAGACAGACTCTAATTTGCAATTTGCTGTTTGCCGGCGTTGTCCAAAGTCCTACCATAGAAAATGCCTGCCGCGGTATATCTTTATTCATTTGTCATTCATTTTCTATTGCTATTTCAGAACTCATTTTGAATAACTGTCTTGTTGGTTTCTAGGGAAATTTCTTTTGAAGATATTGCGGACGAGGATATATTTACTAGGGCATGGGACGGACTCTTGCACAACCGTGTTCTCATATATTGCCAGTAAGATTCATATATGGTGTATCTTGAATTTATAACAATACTTACCTTGAGACACTTATTTTGAATGATATCCCCTTCTTAGAGAACATGAGATAGATGAAGAACTCCTGACACCACTTAGAGACCATGTTAAGTTCCCTTTCACCGAAGAGAAGAAGGTCTTCATAAAAGAGCAAAGAAGGATACTGGAATCACATGTGGGACGAGATAAAGCAAGACCTAAGGTTAAGGATCCTGCCTTACAAGATACTTGTGGAAAAGCTTCTGATAAATCCTTTAGAAGTTCGTTTCCTTCTTCAAAAGATGGTTTCTCCACAAAGAAGCATGGATTAGGTTCATCCGTACCAGACCATTCGAGGAAACGAAAGGATATTGATCCATCCATAAAGCATAAAATGGTTCCACAAAAATCCCACAAGATGATGGAAAACTCCCGTGAAGCTGGCAAAAACAGGCTGGGAGTAAAAGAGACACGTGAATCTGGTAAAAGCAAGGTTTCACTGGGTGAGAGGTTGTTTAATTATATCCAGGAACCTAACCTAGTAAAGCCTGGGCGCATGATTCCTGTTGATAGCAAGCACAATAAGACTGACTCAATTGCTTCCAAGGAGCCAGGAAGTGAAATTCCTACATTAGACAACGACTCTCAAAGGAGGTTAGCATTTTTGTTGTTTGAAATTTCAATTTAGTTTGTTTCTCTTAAAATCTGTTTGGGACCTATTAGTAAATTTCTTCCATTGTATCTACTTTTGCAATGTAGGCTCTTGGCGGTGATGAAAAAAGCTACGGAAGAAATAACTATGGGTACTATGTTAAAGAAATTTAAAGTTCAATCTACTATGAATACAAACTCCACAAGGAATGTTGTGGACAAGACAATCACTATGGGGAAGGTAGAGGGCTCAGTTCAGGTGGGCTAAAAATCTGAAGCCGATCGCTATCTGGCCTCTCTTAGCGCTCTATTTATGACTTTAACTTTTGGTGCTTCAGGCTGTCAGAACAGCGCTAAAAAAGCTTGAGGAAGGAGGAAACATTGAGGATGCAAAAGCAGTTTGTGAGCCAGAGGTTCTGAGCCAAATCCTCAAGTGGAAGGTACTAGCTTAGCTTTTTCTACATCCTTTTTATTTATCTCTGCTTGCAACTAGTACTTTTTGCTAATCCTCTAGATGTTTATTTCTTTTGCTTCAGGATAAGCTCAAAGTTTACCTTGCGCCTTTTCTCCATGGTGCACGCTATACCTCCTTTGGTCGTCATTTTACTAATCCTGAAAAACTTCAACAGGTAATTTATCCTCTTAAAAGCATAAATAAGATTAAGGTCTAAGCATCCTGTAAGTTACAAGGATTTTCGGTTCACACTTAGTCAACAAGTGAGAAAGAAAAATTTCAAGGAGAAATGACTGTTAAAATGTAGACTGTTTATGTCTTTTCAATTAGCTTACTTAATCTTTCTTCTGTGAGGATTATTATGCTGTTGGCTTACACTTTCTGACCTGCGTGACTAGTGACTATAACCTGCTGTTTACGCACACTATCAAATTTTAACTCATGTATCTGAAGCTTGATGCCTGATCAGACCCTATTATTACGTTGTCATGCAGATTGTTGATAGGCTGCATTGGTATGCAGAAGATGGTGATATGGTGAGATTTGCTCACAAACGTTATCTGTTGGGTTTAACTTTATTATTTTGTTTACTTTTCTTAAGTTTTTTTTTTAATTCTGAAGTATGATCTTGTTAGTATAATGATCAATGTCTTGTGCATAAACAATGATGTCTGGTTTCTGGTATCTCTTCCAACAGATTGTGGACTTCTGTTGTGGTTCTAATGACTTTAGCTGTCTGATGAACACGAAGCTTGAAGAAACGGGGAAGAAGTGCTTATATAAAAATTACGATCTTTTTCAAGCAAAGGTAATGATTTGTCTGTGTGCCTGCTATTGTCGTAAGTTGTTAAGTCTTATCACTGATACAGAAGCAACATATGTTAGATCGTGGTGTGTTCTATTCATCACTCTTCTAGGATTACTCATAGAATTATTTATCTTACTTTCAGAATAATTTCAATTTTGAGAGAAAGGATTGGATGACTGTAAGCAAAGATGAGTTGGAACCAGGTTCAAAGCTGGTAAGATACAAATTTCCTTTTAATATGAACTTTATGTAAGCTCCCGTGTCATTGAAGTAGTTTGAGTAGTATCTGACTATTTATATTTTTGGCATTATGAGTAGATTATGGGGCTAAATCCACCATTTGGAGTCAATGCTTCTCTTGCAAACAAGTTTATTACCAAGGCTCTTGAGTTTCGCCCAAAGATTCTCATCCTCATTGTTCCTCCCGAGACTGAAAGGTTTCAGTTTCCATCTATCTCATCTACTCCTCTGTACCTTTCCATAACACTAAAATAACGACTCCTCTCTCCCTCTCTTGTTAAATCTAACACTTTTCTCAACAGGTTGGATAAAAAGAAGTCATCATATGTGCTTATATGGGAGGATAAGACGTTCCTATCTGGAAATGTAAATCATTCGCTTTTCTTTTGATTTACCCCCTCTTTGATTTTGCTTTCTGAGAGATTGAGCCTTTATTGAGTTACAGTTACATGTTTTGCTTCTTGTCTATTCCTTTCAGTCATTTTACCTGCCTGGTTCTGTCAATGAAGAAGATAAGCAATTGGAAGACTGGAACATTGTTCCTCCGCCACTTTCTCTCTGGAGTCGGTCCGACTTTGCAGCCAAGCACAAGAAAATAGCGGAAAAGCATTGCCATTTGTCTAGGGATGTGGGGAGCTCAAAGATAAAGATAGTTGAAGAAGAAGCAAAAGCATCTTTGCATCCTCTTGGACCTTCTGATGGCATGTGTGATGATATTCCTGTGGAAAAGGATGAACTTGAGGTAGCTGAATGTGTTCATAAAATTTTACTCTCTGAGAAAATCGAAACACCGGAAGCTGTAGCACGTGAACATCAGTCAGATCACTTGTTACAGAGAAGTCAGCTGAAAAGGAAGGAAAAGACCAAAGACTACTCCGGTAGGAAGCGTGGGAAGTCTGTGGATTCTAATAATGTGGATTGGAAGAGCAATGACATGGAAGAGGATCGAGGAGAGTTGACTAGAGCACCGGAGAGCATCAAAGTAAAAGTTCCCGAAATGACATCTGATTGGCAGAGTCCTGTTAGGTCTTCCCCAGATGATATATATGCTGTCTGCACATCAATTTCCAATACAACACCTCAAAGATCTCACGAGTCTGTAGAAGCATCTCTGCCTGCAATAACAAGGACAAAAAGTAACTTGGGAAAGGATATTAGAGAACCTGATTGTAAAGTGCAGGGCAGTGGAAAACCTGAAGTGACGCGGAATAGGTCTAGCTCTGTAAGAACTTCTAGAGAGGACATCTACACTGTTCGTCCATCGCCAGAAAATACGGGTCAGAAACCGTTAGAAGCTTTTGAACCATCTTATGGTGCAGGTTTGTCCCATTTCGACGATGGTCTTGCTGCTAGGTATGGTTTTGGTGGAGGCTACAGAATGCCAGATCCTCCTTTCCTACCGGATCAGTTTCCATTGAGAAATGGTCCTAACGAGATGTTTGATTTCCGAGGATATTCAGACCTCGATAGAGGGGTTGGTCAAAGAGAGTATCCACAGCAGTACGGTGGGCACTTGGACCCCATGTTAGCTCCTCCTCCAAATCTGATGGACAATGCATTCCCATTGCAACAACGTTATGCGTCTCATTTCGATCAAATGAATTACCAGAGGATGAGCTCTTTCCCACCTCCGCCTCCAATGCAACCTACCGGACACAATCTCCCAAATCCTCATGGTTTTTCACTGCAACCGCCACCACCTAGTGACTTCGAAATGAGTCCGCTGGGTTTTGCCCCTGGGCCGAACCCGAACTACCCTTATATGAGTCGATCTGGCGGTTGGATTAATGACTAGACCAGCAGTCATTATCCTTGTAGTTGCAACATTAGTAGTTCGATTGATCTTTTGTGTCTGACTCTACGAAATTGTAGGAAGAATAGAAGAAATCTATAACTTTTCTCTGCCACTCATGTCTAGCTAGTGGGCCTTTTGGCTGTTTAATTAATATAAAAGAAAAAGAAGCCAGCATCTTTTCTCTTAAACTTTTTAGTCATCTTTTGTGGTAATTCTTTAATACAGGACCACGTCAAAGTCTGCTGCTTCCACAGAATTAGCAAACCGACAGATCTGAGATATGGAAGAAAAGTTTAGAAACTTAATCGAGGTATGGATCTCTGCTCTAATCTCTCTATCTTACTGTTATTACATATCATCTAAACTCTCCAAAGGTGTTCTTCGTCTCCTCTCTATTCTTCCAATCTGCATTCTGTTTTTTGTTCTTCCTCTGTTCCTCTCTTGTGTGCACTGTTGCGCCATTTCAGCTCTTTTTCTCTCATGGCTTGCAAACTTCAAACTTCTTCTCTTTGCCTTTGATGAAGGACCTTTGTTCCCACTTCCCCCAAAACTCTCCCGTTTCATCTGCTTCGCTTGTTTGCCCATCAAAATCAGACATAACCCTTCTCCAAATGCGATCACAAATCTTCATCTTCGTAAGCATGAACCTATGCCTAAATGGGTTTTGGCTGTCAAAATTTTGGTCTTGGGCGTCTTGTTACATGTCTATGAATACAGGGATGGTTTGCCTCGGTTCGTTGTCTTGGCTCTCTATTGTCTCCATATATACCTTGAGGTAGAACTTGTCTTGGTGTTTGTTGGGGCTGTGGTATCTACTCTTCTTGGGTGTAACATCGAGCCAGTGTTCAATGAGCCCTACCTAGCTACCTCTCTACAGGACTTCTGGAGCCGCAGATGGAACCTCATGGTTTCAGCTGTCCTGCGCTCAACCGTCCACATTCCCGTTCAGCGTTTTTTCAAACGCTTGCTCAGTCCAAACGGGGCTATGTTTGCTGGGGTCATGGCCTCGTTCTTTGTCTCGGGCTTGATGCATGAGCTGCTCTACTTTTACATGATCCGTAAGCCGCCAACTTGGGAAGTCACTTGTTTCTTTGTGTTGCATGGTGCTGCCACTGCCACTGAGATAGGGGTGAAGAGAACACAATGGTGGAGGCCACCGCACCGGGCTGTCTCCGGTCTTGCAGCTCTGACGTTTGTGAGTGTGACGGGCGTTTGGCTATTCCTCCCTCAAGTGCTGAGAAACAATGTCCATGAGAAAGCGATTAGTGAATGTTTATTGGTTCTTCACCTTGTCAAACGCAAGTTATTCACTTCGTCATGATTTTTTATTAAAGGCCAAGAGCAGTAGCAGAGCAACCAAACTTATTACTTTATTAGTGTCTCTTCATTGTGTGAAAACGTATATAGAAGTGTGAGACACGTTCGGTGGTGTGAGACATTCATTACATGGAACTAAATTGAATCAAGCGCAACAATTTTTTTATAAAATATGGCGTAAATGTTTTCTAACAAATGATTCAATGAACATCTACTTTGTATATTAATGTATATTTTTAATACGTCATACGAACATTTCCAATCCAATCTATTTGGATTTTTTGAGTTTATATTGGAAAAAAACGTGTAATACGAAATAGTTTTGTCTAAGATTCTTTTTTCTTTTACAGTTTTACTTGGGAAATTCTAGAAAATTTGTTAAAAGTAATCCTTATATGTTATTTAAAAAACATTAATTAATTGAATAATACAAGACTTAACTTAAGTCCGGACATTAAACCCTCTAATTTTGAAGTTCTATCCTTTTATCTCTTTTACAAAAAAAATGAAATAGTTTCTGAATGATCCAAAATTAAAATGCCGCAAACTTGACAAGTTCGAAACGTATTACCATTTATGGATTTTGGCATTATTCATGTTCTTGTGGTTGTGGATAATATTATTCAAGTCGCATCCTTCAGACCTTAACACAATTAGCAACCAACAAAACCAAGAAAGAAAAATGGAAGAAGAGTTGAGAAACCTAATCAAGGTATGGATCTCTGCCTTAATCTCCATATCTTACTGTTACTACATCTCTTCAAAAGTCTACAAAGGTGTTCTTCGCCTCTTCTCTCTTCTCCCCATCTTCCTCATCTTCCTTTCTTCTTCCTCTCCTCCTCTCTTCTGTCCACTTCTGCGTCATCTCAGCTTTCTTCCTCACATGGCTCGCAAACTTCAAGCTCCTTCTCTTTGCTTTCGATCAAGAACCTTTAAGCCCATTTCCCTCAAATCTCTCCCGTTTCTTCTGTTTCGCTTGTTTTCCAATCAAAACCCTTCTTCAAATCGATTCTACAACAAACATATGTCTAAATGGGTTCTTGCTTTCAAAGTTTTGATATTTTTATACATCTCTACTTTAACAATTACCATTACCGTCTACCTCGGTTTGCTCTCTTGACTATCTTATCCAAATCTGTTAACAAAATGTGTAGCTGTCGAAATCATAGTTACTCAATTTTATATTCGAGACATGTTTGAGTCAGTCCTACTATTATTTTAAATACACATGTATTGGTTTATGTTAGAGTCCCACATCGGAAAGAAATAAAATCCTTGGGTAATATATATAGTATGAGGCAAACCTCCTCCCTTGAGCTAGCTTTTGGGTGTTGAGTTAGGCTCATTACTAATAACATGAACTAAAGTCAAAACCATCGTGATTGGAGAAGAAAAAGAAGATCTCGAGAGATGGAAGAAGAACTCAAGAACTTAATCAAAGTATGGGTTTATGCAACAATCTCCATATCTTATTGTTACTACATATCAACAAGAATCAAAGCTGGTGTCTTTCGATTACTCTCTGTTCTTCCCGTATGTGCTCTGTTTCTTGTCCTTCCTCTGTTTTTCTCCTCTGTTCACTTCTCTGAAGCCGCAGCATTTTTCTTCACATGGCTCGCAAATTTCAAACTCATTCTATTCTGTTTCGATCAAGGTCCTCTTTTCCCACTTCCCTCAAATCTCTCCCGATTCATCTGTTTCACTTGCTTCCCCATCAAGCCTCAACAAAACCCTAATCCTCAAAATCAATTCCCCAAATGGGGTTTCCCTATTAAAGTTGCTGTTTTTGGTATGTTGTTACATATGTATGAATACAAACAATATATGTCTCCGACTGTGCTATTGGTTCTCTATTCTCTGCATATATACTTGGAGCTTGAGTTTGTCTTAATGCTTGTTAAAGTTTTGGTCTTTATCACTCTTGGATGCGATCTAGAGCCACAGTCCAATGAACCATACTTAGCCACCTCTCTTCAAGACTTCTGGGGTCACCGATGGAACCTCATGGTCCCCGCGATCCTTCGGCCGGCCGTTTACACCCCCGTCCGGCGACTTGCCGAACGGAAAATGAACTCCGATCAGGCTATGTTCTTGGGAGTTTTTGCAACGTTCCTCGTCTCTGGTACGGTTCACGAGCTAATCTTCTTCTATATAACTCGTTAGATGCCTACAGGGGAAGTCACTTGGTTCTTTGTGTTACATGGAGTTTGCACTGCGGCGGAAGTGGCAGTGAAGAAGAGGACTTTTGTGGGGCGGTGGAGAGTGAGTCCGATAGTGTCACGGCTTCTCACGGTGGGGTTTGTGGTTGTGACGAGTGGTTGGTTGTTTTTCCCTCCTCTTATAAGGAGTCATAAGTGAATGTTTGTTGGTTATTGACGTTGTTAAACGCAAGTTGTACGTATTTTAATGTAACGCCTAATTTGAAGAAGAGCTTCTCTTTATCCTCATCATCATTGTTATTATCGTCAACACACGCGTTACATATGGACACTCCGATCTACATTAAAATGGTTTTATTCGAATACATGTCTAGATTAGTATGATAAAATCATATATAAAAAAAAGACTGAAATAGGATAAAATGAATGACGGTCAAACTAATTAATCAATTTAAAGTTCTCAAAACAATGAAATGAAATTTGTGATATTGAATATTAACTGTAATTTATCCAAAATTATATGATTGGTGAAAAATCTGCAGAATGACAAACCCATTCTATAATTGTTGAGGTTCGTGCATGATAAAGACCTGTCAAATGCGTCCGCTCACATCTTCTCTTTCAAAATAGGGATGCTTCACTGTTATAGCTGTCAGCCTGTCATGTCATATTTACCCTATTTTCTCTATTCGGAACATGTTTGGGGAAGAAAAACAAGATCTAGAGAGATGGAGGAAGAAGAACTCAAGAACTTCATCTAGGTTTGGATTTCAACAATAATATCCATATCTTATTGTGTTACTACTTATCAAGCAGAATCAAAGCTGGCTCTCTGTTCTATCCGTATGTGCTCTGTTTCTTGTTTTTCCTCTGTTTTTCTCCTATGTTCACTTCTCTGGTTGCATAGCGTTTTTCCTCTCATGGCTCGCAAATTTCAAACTCATACTCTTCTCCTTCGATCAAGGTCCCCGTCCTCTTTCTCCACTTTTCCGAACTCTCTCCCGATTTATATGCTTCACTTGCTTCCCCATCAAGCTTCAACAAAACCCTAATCCTCAAAATAAATTGCCTCAATGGGTTTTCGCCATTAAAGTTGCCATCTTTGGTTTGCTGTTACACATCTATGATTACAAATAATACCTATACCCGAATCCTCTCTGCATATATACTTGGAGCTTGAAGTTGTCTTAATGCTCGTCAAAGTATTAGTCTTTATCAGTCTTGGGGGCGATCTTGAGCCACAAGCCAATGAACCATACTTAGCCACTTCTCTTAAAGACTTCTGGGGTCGCCGGTGGAACCCTGCTCATTGTCCCCGCGATCCTCCGGCCGGCCTTTTACACCCCGGTGCGGCTACTAGCCAAACGGAAAATGAAATCCTATCAGGCTATGTTCTTGGGAGTTTTTGCAGCGTTCCTCGTCTCCGGTGCGGTTCACAAGCTGGTCTTCTTCTATATAACGCGTGAGATGCCTACAGGGGAACTTACTTGGCTCTTTGTGTTACATGGAGTTTGCACTGCTGCGGAAGTGGCCGTGAAGAAGAGTACGTTTGTGCGGCGGTGGTGGAGAGTGAGTCCGGCAGCTTCACGGCTCCTCACAGTTGGGTCATTTGTGGTTGTGACGAGTGGTTGGTTCTTTTTCCCTCCTCTTATAAGGAGTGGCATGATCGAAAGACTCGCTAGTGAAGCGTTAATTAATGTCCGTTGATATCGTCAAGCGCAAGCTTTTTTTTTCTTCTTTTGGGTGATAAATCGCTGACTAGCTCATGCATGGTTCATGGATTTATGTGTGTTTCTATAGCTGGATTATCAAATCATATTTACATTGTGGAATTTCAGAATATAAAGACTAAAGAAAGGTTATATATGATTAGTTGGGTTAGTAGATGTCAAATCGTGGAAACTTCTTTCGTCTATTAGATCATCTACTCGTTGACCAAATGACCAAATGACCAAAAGACCTGACATTGACAAATGCTATAATCAGACCGAATCCGCAATCAACGTCATATCTTATTACCTAATTTTCTATTTGGAACGTGTTTTGATTCATTCGATAATATTAAGTACTTTTTACAATCATATTAGTCAAAGCCTTGGTGATTGGGAAGGAAAAAAAAAAGATCTCGAGAGATGGAGGAAGAACTCATGAGCTTAATCAAAGTATGGGTTTATGCAACAATCTCCATATCTTATTGTTACTACATATCAACAAGAATCAAAGCTGGTGTTTTTCGATTACTCTCTGTTCTTCCTGTTTGTGTCCTGTTTCTTGTTCTTCCTCTGTTTGTTTCCTCTGTTCACTTTTCTGGGTCCACAGCATTTTTCCTCGCATGGCTTGCCAATTTCAAACTCATACTCCTCTCCTTCGACCAAGGTCCTCTTTTCCCACTTCCCCCTAATCTCTCCCGACTCATCTGCTTCACTTGCTTCCCCATCAAGCTTCAACAAAACCCTAAACCTCAAAATCAATTGCCTAAATGGGTTTTCGCCATTAAACTTGCTATCTTTGGTTTGTTGTTATATATGTATGCATACAAACAATATATGTCTCCGACTGTGCTATTGGTGCTCTATTCTCTGCATATATACTTGGAGTATGAGATTCTCTTAGCTCCCTTGAAAGTTCTGCTCAGTATCTCTCTTGGTTGCGACCTCGAGCCGCAGTTCAACGAACCATACTTAGCCACCTCTCTTCAAGACTTCTGGGGTCGTCGGTGGAACCTCATGGTTCCAGCGATTCTTCGGCCGGCTGTTTATGTCCCGGTGAGACGAATGGCCGGTCGGAAAATGAACTCTGATCAGGCTTTGTTCTTGGGAGTTTTTGCGACGTTCCTTGTCTCCGGTGTCGTTCACGAGCTGATTTTCTTCTACTTTACACGTGAATCGCCGACAGGTGAAGTCACTTTGTTCTTTGTAGTACATGGAGTTTGCACTGCCGCTGAAGGAGCTGCGAAGAGAACGAGCTTGGTGCGGCGGTTGAAGATGAGTCAGATGGTTTCCCGACTGCTCACGGTGGGGTTTGTGGTTTTGACCGGTGGTTGGTTGTTTTTTCCTCAGCTTACAAGGAGTGGCATGATCGAGAGACTTGCTGACGAAGCCTTTTTGTTTATTGATTTCGTCAAGCACAAATTTTTCTACCTTTGGAGAAATAAATCGCTACAAACGTAGATTTATGTATTCTATTGCTAGTTTTATCAATCATATTACTTTTGATGGATTTAGGAAGAAAACTAAAGTGGATTAGGAAGAAAACTAAAGAGAGGTACTGTGATTAAAACGGGTTTGGTAGAATGTCAAATCGTGGAAACAACGTCATTGTTTCTAATTTCTACGTCTAGATTTATATTTTAGAAAAAAAAAACAAATAATATTATTGTTTGCAAATATTAAAAACATTCATTTTAAAATCATCTCTACATTTTGTAAATTTTGACTGGTTTTAAAAATAGTATAACGTCTAGAACAAATTTTACATTCTTATCCTCTCACTCTTATCGAAATATGATTTTATATGTGTGGGCAAAATATAAAAATTCTAAAAATTTCTATAAAAAAAATTTCTAAAAGTTTTGTGGACAATTTGACTTGAATAAGACAAAAAAATACATGTGTTTGGTTTATATGTTCGACTAATGAACAATTTAAATTTTCATTGTGTAGTGGAATGTGATATAGTAAGAGATCTAAGAGCATCTTCTACTGAAAGAAACCATTGTGGTTTCTCAAATATAATAATTTAATGTTTCTATAATAAATAAATTATTTGTTTAAAATTTAATTAATAAAAAATGTCTAACCAGTTAAATGATGTCATGTATCATACATAGTTTCTCAAAATTTCTCAAACGAGAAACATTTTTCGTTCTCTCTCATACTTTTATTTATTTTTTATTTTTTATTTATTTCTTTGACATTTTATGAGACATCTCCGTTGAAGATGCTCTAATATGGCTAGTTAGTATGATGCAGCTGCTATTGTGATAATGGGAGTCTTTGACAATGTACATTTCCCTGGACCAAATGGCAATGTAGCATTTCTTCAGATGGCTTCTCGTCTATAGCCTTTTGGCCGGTTACTAGCTTCATGAGAATAATTCCAAAGCTGTAAATGTCGTCAATCTTTTAAAATTATTGTTCCTCTCACTACAATTATAGAGTGTTTCCGCAAGTTTATTGGTTATAAGATATAGGTACTGACATACTCCCTATATTTCATAAAGAATGTCATTTTGACACATTTCACACATATTAAGAAATGAGTTAAATATACAAACATACCTTTATTTAATATATCACTAATAATTTAAATATAAAGGATTTTAGTTTTGGATAAAGGGCAAATCTATAAATTAGTTACAAAAGTTGCATTGAAAATGTAAAACAACATTCTTTTTGAAATAAAAAAAATAACTCTAGAACGACATTCTTTGTGAAACGGAGAGAGTATAAAAGAAGAAAACCATACATGTAATGATGCAAATGCAATTCCGGTACTATATTAACCAAGAGTTCCAACATATTTTGTCCAAATTGATTCTTTGCCTTATGGTGTTTGATTGGACTAACCCAAATTTCTGTCTATTCACTATTATGATATTATCAATTAAATATTTTAAGTCATTCGTATTCTTGCATTATTTAGTGTAGTTAGTCATCACTCATCAAAAATATTTTCGCTCATATTTGAACATATAACTTCTATTTATTTGCAGCCCGGCTCTGCACTAATTTTAAGAAACATTTGTATTGTGCCTTAAATTTTTAAGGTCTATTTTTATTGAGATTTTTTTTTTTTTACTTAGGCCCTAAAATTAACAAAAAAACTCTAAAAATTAGCAAAAAAGCCTCATAATTAACAAAAAAATATTCCACAATTAGTTAAAAAGTCTCACAATTAACAAACAATGTCCAAAAGTTAATAAATAAAAATTATGAATATCTCATAATTAATAGAAAAAAAGTAGCAATTTTTATTTTTAAAAAAGCCCCAATTTTATTTTCGTATTTGGCCTCGGATTTTACCGGACCGGCACTGCTTATTTGTTAGTCTTTATTTTTTTTGATGAGTATTTGTTAGTTTTATTTTGCTTATGCTTTGATTATGTTTTGCTTATATTTTGTTTAATTTTGTTGACTTATGAAAAACTTGGTTTCGAAAATTATAATTATGTCATGGGACGTGTTCAACTGTATATAGTAAGATGTTGGTGAAAGATTATAAAAATGAGAAATTAGTAAAAGTGACGTACCTCTAGTACCTTTTAGGGAAATTATTAATAATGCCCCTTTTCATATGCCCTTTTTTAATAATACCCCTTTCAGCTGGTGATTTTTAAAAATGCCCCTAAAAAATGTCTAAACTGACCAAAATATCCTTCCCCTTTTCAACCCTAGAATCAGATTTTTTTTTTGTCTTCCTCTTTCTTTCTCTTCCATCGAGCGGCTATCTCTCTCTCTCTCTCTCTCTCTCTCTCTCTCTCTCTCTCTCTCTCTCTCTCTCTCTCTCTCTCTCTCTCTCTCTATCTCTCTCTCTCTATCTATCTCTCTATATATATATATATTTATATATATGTATCTATCTCTCTATATATGTTTGATTTTCAACCT